CTTCAATGCACTAGTTTTGTTCTTGGCTTTCCGTAACTAAAATCAAATTGTAGGTTAAAATAAGGTACTGGCAAAGGAATTGTGTCCAGAATGTGAACTAGGAGCCACGAACTTCTGTTGTAATGTTGATTTTTGCTATAAGGTTCCAGGAATGGTCATTTAACACTTCCCCCGCCCCCAAAACAAGTAACAGAAGTGTGTTTTTTCACAACTGTAAAATACCAGATTGTATTACAGATTATGAAAACAAAGCAATACTTTGGGACAACTGCTCTTCTGGGTCACATAGCAGTTTTACCTGGGCCAGTACAAATTCTGACCGCAGCCAAAAGCAAATGCTCCGGATCAGACTTCACAGAACATTCCTATTACATGCACTTATGTGCTTCAGTACTCTGAGGACTTTCCTGATGTATCATATTCCAATTCTTCTGCAAGTTATAAAGAAACATACTCTTTTTTTTTTTTTATTTTATTTTATTTTTTTTTCTTTGCTCAGGGTGATCAGTTATGAAGAAGGGAAAGCTTTAGCAGAATCCTGGAATGCAGCTTTCTTGGAATCTTCTGCTAAAGAAAATCAGGTAAAATTCACTTTATTCAAATAGCAATGTAATGGAATGAGTCATGGTTTCTTAATAAAGGAAGTTAAAATATTTGCATGTACTCTACAGATATCGTGTGTAGATGGTTGGAAAGAAAATGACTGTCTGCATTCAGGTTTATGTATACAAGTTTTTCCGTGCGAGTGTAAATGGAAGGAGGAAGTGAAGAACTGAGAGTTATGCTTCATTGAACATAGCAGAACCGTTAGTGACAAACTAAAACTCGAATCCGCGTGGTGGGTGGAACAGGATCTGTGACCTGACTCTTACCTTAAATAGGAGTGAGTTGGTATAAGGGGATGAACCTCGTGTTTTAAGGTGTGCTAGGCAAGGCTTGGGCTCTCTAATGTGGGGAATACTCATTTTGTGGGTCTGTGGAGAAGGGGGGTGGGGTGGAAAAAAAAACAACAGAAAAATACTGGAATACAGCTGAGGCTCTCAGACTCTACCGTGATACAGCTCTAGTGAAGTTGCACGATCTAACCCAATATAACCTGCACGCATTTATACCTGTTGGTTTCTTATCACAGAAAGAAAGTGTTTAATCACATGTTAAATAAGATCTTATTCTTAGTTGCTCTAACTAACTTTCTTTAAAATGCTTCCTAAATATGTTCTGGTATTTGAATTTGTTCCTGTGGCTGTTAATAATACTTTCTCATTGGTTTGCCACCTTGTGTATCTAAGCTCCAAGAGCCTCCTAGTTTGGACTTGAAGTCATGGGTAACTGCTGTGGGTTGGGACAGGGGGTCTTTTCCCCACTGCCCACCCCCCCTCTTTTTCTTTTTTTCTTTATTTTTTTCTCTGTAGGTCTCCACAGCATCAAAGCTTTTGCTTTTTTATAAAGTCAAAAGGACATTGTCAAGCTAGTTTTAAATTAGTCCTTACGCAGAAGAAACGCTTACATTGTCTCTTATTTAACCTCGCCTATCACATCCTTGGCCTCCTTGGCAACGTCAGTGCGATCAAAAGGGCAATCCTATGGCTAGGACAGGACCTGTTTAAGCAGCCTTTCTTTCCCTCTCCCCCATCCCTAAAATCAAAACTAATAGCTTTTTGTCCCGTGTGTGTTGTCAACAGTTCTGCAAGTTATTCGAGTGAAGTTGGATTTTCCCTGGAAGAAGAATTGGGAATTTTTTTTTCTCCAGATATGGAATAGTTGGAGTTGGTTTATCAGTACTTCTGTTTCTGGCTAAGACTTGCATTAACCTTGTCAAAATTGGGCATGATGAAAGCATGAAATTTCTCAATATATCTTATCTGTATGCTGGAGAGCTTCAAACGCATACTCAAGGAAACTAAATTGACAGTGTAAAGAATAAACCAGTTAAAAGCATCCCATTTCCCATCTCCCACCTTTATTTTAAACAACTTAACATTTCTGTATTAGGCAAAATTCTTGCCTGTGCTCTTTCTTTTGGCATATGTTTGCAGTGTGTAACAGTATAGCAAGTCCTACCTAGCAGAATATCTTACCGGTAACTTTTCTGAAGTTTGTGTTGTTCTTGGTTCAAGAAAAAGAAGTTTGGTATATTTATGGAAAGAAGCTACAAGTTTTATATGATGCTTGGCATGTCTCGGATATTAAATTGTTGCACTAACAAAGCCACGCTGACTGCCATATATTTGTGTCTGTTCCTTAACCTCAGACTGTATCAAGTTATGCTGCCAGCTGAAATTTATATGGCAAACTTTATAGCCTTCAGGGAAATCAGAATGGCAGTTGTATCTCAGATATTCAAAATTCTGTACAGTCCTGTACAAATCCCACAAAAAAAAAATCAGAAGTTGTATTTGGATCCTTTAGGATAGCGATCGCAGGCCGCTGTAAATTCTGTCTCTCTGGAGTCAGATGCAGGTTGTTAGAAACAGGTGCCTGAACACGAGTTCCTCCTTCATGCCTCTTAAATAATACGCTTGGTAAATTTGTCTGGCTCCAAAAGTTCAAGAGATCATACATGACTTCTGAGATGGGTGCCCACAGCATGTGACCGTCTTTCAGGTTGTCTGGCATGCTTCCTTTGGAGGCTTGGGATGTATGGAAGAAAGCGTGAGGGAGCTCAGACCTGGGGCAGCTGCCTCAGTCTTCTCGCAAACAGTTGCAGAGGAATGCTCGCCTCTTCAGGGGTGGAAGCTTGAGCTTTGAGAGCAAAGTGTGGAGTCTAGAGCTGTGAGGTGCTAGGGGGAACAGGAGACACCAGGCATTGTATAGCATCCCTTCCTACGAGTTAGGCCAGGAGCTCTTCTGAACTTGTGGGTTTGGTTTTTTTCCCTCCAAATCCTAATTTGACAGGATCAAAACAGCTGATATATAGACCTCTATCAAGACATGATATCTTCTCTTAACTCTGAAACTGTCTCTGGTTTGGAGGGAAAAAGGGGTTATTTTGCACTTTGTAACAAGGCGTGTTGTCATTCTCCTGGTACTGAATGTTCACCATATGTAAGTCAACATTACTGGAAAAAGAAGTCTGTCAGCACATTTTTCTTGGAGGTTCATCGAAATCTTCCCCTGTACTGGCTTGGTACAGCAAGTGTAAGTTGCCTATCAAGATTAAGTTTAAACTCCTTTCAAAACTGCTTCAGATTCTGTTTGCTTTACAGAAAGCTAATCAGATGCTTAAAGGGATGAGCTGGACTGGATTGGGAATTTAGAGCTTAAGAACTTCAGCAGAGAGCTCAAACCTTCCTGGCTGGAGGAAAATCTGTTAATCCTTTCTCTCTGAAACCTAGCCATCTGTATTTGGTGGATGTGCAGAGCACAAGTACGACAGTTTCTAGTATGCTGGTCTGAAATTGGTTTGGTACATGATGTTCTTCACAGCGGCCAGGAGAGTAGGTCTTTTTGCTACAGGGGTTAAACCAAACTTGATCAGCTGTGTGGTCTGTCCTTTATAACAGCTCTGTTTGCAAGAAGCTGCTGAAACCAGAGAAGGTATTCCCTATAACAAGTTCTGATAGGAAAGGCTCCTTTCCTCCTAAAAGGGGGTGGACGCTGACTTTTCTCCGTTCATACTTTGGCCCAAAAAATTTCCTTGTTGGTGCATCTGTGAGAGTCCTAGGAGCACAGCCCTACCATACTGGACAACTGAAATAGTTCTATAGATGAACTTTGGCAAGCTAGTCCTATGCCAGGAGTTACCAAAAGATAGCGGCATTCCAGAAATAGCATGACTTTGAATAGATGGAAAGAGAGGCAAAGATCAAAGCTGCAGTGAGGATAAATGGTAGTGGTTGGCGAGAGTTCCCAAGGTCAAATATATTTGAGGCTATGTATCGGCTCCTCCAGACAAGGGTGATCTAGTAGGGCTCGGAGGAGCCTGCGTATCAGCAACGTATCGGTCATCTAGGGAAATCCCTGGGCCTTGAGAAGGCAATTCTGAGACTTAATGGAAAAGACCTCTTTTAGATTACTGCTGGGCTATTACTGTCATATCTTCTTAAGCTGCTTAATTATTACCAGATATGTTGAACTGCTTTGGCTAAATCCAGGAGTTTCGAGCCTTTCTTGTGGAATTCCCTGCCAAAGTAGGGTTTGCCTGAGCCGTAGTGTAGTACTTCACCTTAATCCTGGTACAATAAAGTGGTAACTGTTCGAAATACAACCAGAATCCAAATTGATCTTAAAACTCAGTTGAAGCTGGGAGCCAATTTTACTGGAAGAATTTGGGGAGTAATGAGAGGCCAAATTGCGTTCATCCAGTTACGCAAAATTCATTAGATGAAATTGTCTTAGAAGGGGCAAGGAAGTAGCCAAAAATCCACTTCTCGCCAAAACAGAGCTCTCTTAAAAAGCAATTGCTTTGGCACTGCTTCTTTTTCAAGAGTAACTTCATCGGCAAGCTCAGACGATGCAGTGCTCAGTACGCACTTCACAGTGGTTTGGGATCTTAGCCCCCCTCCAGGGGTCTGAAATGTTTACCTGGAAGAGTGCGTTTGGACTAGCAAAGAGGGGGGGAGGAAACCTCTCTTCCTTTACCTGACTGTAGTTCAAGTTCTTTGCCCAGTTCTGTGCCAAGGTAAACCAGTAGTATGAGCCGTTGAGAGTTTGCTCCTTGAAATAATAAAACAGTTGCATAGTTGAAAAATACAGCATACCAAGGGACGAGCTGACTCCGGAGGCTGTGGGCTGGATTTGGGTGTTTGCACCTTCCTGGCATCATGTTCCCGACTCCCTGCTTGTGCAGAGGGAATTGCACCTCCCAAGCCGTCTGTCCTGCTCGCACCAAGGGGCACATCTGCAGAAGCAGTTGAGCCTCTGGTGTCTCTTGCACGGTGCTAAGCTCGGTAGGCAGCATGCGTTGCCCAGGCTGACATTGATTTTGTTTCCTCAGGGGAGAAAGGTAGAAGAAAGCCAGATGGCTTTCTGTAGGCTAGGTGTGACCCACATTCTATAATTGGACCATATGGAGACAGATGCGTATGAAGTCTGGCTGCGTTCTTTATTCCTTGTCAGAAAACACAGCTTCCTGCGTTGTTTAAAAGCTCATTCTGAAATACTTTGGCGTACTTGGGCTGAATTACAAATGCTTAAGGGTTAACTGCAGGACAGTGATTAAACCTTCTCAGTGAATACATATTTTCTGTGAAATGAATTAACAAGCCCTGCGAACTCCTACATCTTAGTGTTTGAAACAGCACGTCTTTGACAGAGAATGTACAGCTTCTTGGTTGACAAAATAAGTTGTAGCGGGGTTTTTTTAATAGATGCTTTGAAGCAGGGGTATAAAGAACTTGTGCATTAAAACGAAACCATTGAAAATGTCAGCTCTAAGTAGGGAAACATTGGTGCGGTGTGTTTGTAAATTGGTGTATCACCAAGTTTTGATTAAGGGAAACCTTCATTAGCAGCACCAGTTTGAGAGCAACTGTAGTCCTGACTGTGGTTCTAGGGTCTAATTTGCCCAGGAAATGTGTTGTGTAGTACTGGACTAAAGAGCCGCTTCTGTCAGAGTCAGTTGGGATTGCAGGGAAACTTCATTACACGAAGGAATACTCTATTTCCAGCCGGTGAAGTGTTGTAAATAGTTCCAGACGTAGTACTGTGCACAAACGGTATAAATATGGGAAACTGAATTTTAAAAAAAGTTCAGTCTAATCTTGTTAAGATTGCTTTAAGATTGTTGTGGGGCCGCTTTAGTCAATGGGATTAATTTGGAAGTGATCCAATTAAGAATTATACCTTGTGGAGGCGGAAAAACTTCTGTCCAGTCAGAACACACAGTCATAAATCACAGGGTGCTCTTCAGCCTGCTGATTAAAACGAACAAAACTCCCTTTTTATCCTCTTTCATACTGTGACTGCTTTTATTTAATGAATATACTTCCCTTCTTAAGGAGCGTATGCTTGGAATTCATGAAACAGGTGGCTAGAGGTTAGATAAACTTAAGGTGGCATCTCTGAGATGGTCTGGAGACTGCTTCCAAGTTGAAGATTAATAAGCTGAAGTACTGATCATACGGCAGATCTTCAGCTCGAAAGTACTGGAGAGAAGAAAAGCACTTTAGAATTGCCCTTGACTGTAGTATAGATTCAGTCTTAAATTCTTTCCAGGCAAACTCGGATGCTGCGTGTTGTAGTTGTTGTTTCTGCTTATTCTGATGGAGAGTAGTGTACAATTCTGAAACCTTTAAAACTGAGTGAATCCTGAAAATACCAGATTAACAGTGTAAGGTATTTAGTACAGGTAGCGTTCATGATGTTGTCCCAGACACCTTACTCTCCCCATCTTTCAGTATCCTTAAAAAGAAACAGCCAACCCCCCCACCAGAAACCTAACTATGCTTAACTGAATTATTCCGTAAAATCTCCTGAATCACTCGAGTGATTTCTCATCCTTTCTTAGCATCTCTGCTTCAGTGAAACTTATTTTCATGGGAAATTGTGTCTTTCCATCCCAAGATTTTTTTTAACTTGTACTTGCTAGCACGTGTGTGTCTGGGGAAGTATTGCCCTCCTGAGCCCCTCCCTGCGCTGTTTCGTCACCTGGAGTTTTGGCAGGGGAGAGCCTTTTTCCCGCAGGGTGCTTTATGCTGGGTGTGGAGGGAGGAGACTCGGTGTAGCCCAAGAGGAGCTGGTAGCAGAACAAGTGACTTCTACTCTGAGAGCAGGTGCTGCCTTCCCTCTGAAGGAGTGAAGGGATCCGGAGTGCTCGTGTGGCTCGCGATTTTGCAGATTATCTGTTATAATCCTCTGTATTCCATACAGTAAGCTAGGATGTTGGCGTGGGCCTGACCATGTTAGCGATGGCTATGCTACAGTTCAAGCTGTTTAAAATATAAACCCCCTTTCTCTCAGAAGGACTTTATCAAAGGATACTTCTTAATAGTAGACAGTGACTAGTTTGGCTTGTGTCCTCCCCTTGTGTTCTTGCACCATGTCTAATACTGGCCTTACCTATAGGTAAGTTGAGAAAATCAAGAATGGTAAAGTAACCCTCATACTGGGCTGTGCAAAGTCAGTGTTTAGAGCTGAAAAATCTGATGCCTTGTGTAATTACTTGGAATCTTAACGATTACTTAGAGGAAATGAATTGGTTTATTCTCTGGAGCTGCACAGCATCAAAACCTTCAATGCTGTCAGTCACTCAGCACAAGCTTACTGTTGAAAATAGAGCCCAATTACAGTTACTAGCTCTGTTGTGAATACGGCTCAGTTTAAACTTGCCCTCCCTGCAGTGATAGAGAAAATAGTTGAGGATCGCTGTGCAGAAGGGGGTTACCCTTTTCTTCCAAAAGGTTGTGTTCAGAACTGAAATTATCGTATTTTCTCTCTTTGACTTTGGAGTAAGTGTTGGGCGTGCATTTAGCTGTTGGTGTAGCCAGTGTAGCTGCTAACACTTTATTATTTTTTCAGTAGGCAGGCAGTTTCTTCTTACCTACTAATCTTGTACTCTCTCTTTGCAGACTGCCGTTGATGTTTTTAAGAGGATAATTTTGGAGGCAGAAAAAATCGATGGGGCAGCTTCACAAGGGAAGTCTTCATGCTCAGTAATGTAATTCCACTGCAAAACGTGAAAACACTGGGAATACATTCTACCTGAAGAAGCAAAACTGCCCATTATCTTTAAGGATAAACTATGCTTCTTTTTTTTTTTTTTTTTTTTTTTCCTTTTTTTTTTTAACCTAAAA